TGTCCTGATTATAATGTCCACTATATTTGGTTATTTATTAATCCAGGCAAATTTGTTGATGAAACATCGATGCCTGGTTGATGAGTTTTTCTATACATCTACCTATATATCTACTGGTTGAGCCACTCGTGATCGAGTAGTTATGCCGTAAAATAGTTAAATTCTCCCGGAATCTAGAGCGAGCGAGCACATGAAACGGAGATAGTGCTCCAATAAGCCGCTTGAGGTGAACTATCTGGAGAATGAGACAGATGTTCAGGAAAACCAATTGGTGAAGCCACAAACGACCCTTTCTTCAAAGTACGGCCCATTTTTAGTGCACTGAATGAGTCTTAGAAAATGATGCAATACCAAAAATGGTTATCAGTTGACAAAAGCATGATGCCTTATGGCAGGTATGGTTGCAAACAATTGATCAGGGGCAAACCAATCATGTTTTGTTATAAATTGTGGACCATTTAATCACCTACAGGGTACATGTATCATATGGAGCCACATAGCGGAGTGCACACACATCTCCCTGAAACTGGCCTTGGACAGAGCCCAAGTATAGTCCTTGGTCTAGCTGAACAAGCAGAAGTTCCTACAGGGTATAACTTTGTATGCGACAACCTTTTCACGCCTCAGCCACATTGATGAAATGACAAAACGAGGTTATGGATGTCTTGGCACTTTGAGACTGTGCCGCCTGCACGATGTCCCTTTTACAGATGTGAAGAATTTCCAAAAAATGCCTTGTGGAAGCTCTGAAGTGCTTACACAGGGGAAAAAGTTATTGGTACCGTGGAAGGATAACAATGTTGTAACCATGGCAACCAATGCTGCTGAGAAGTATTCTGAGGTGACTGTAAACAGGTGGAACAAAGAGAAAAAGCCTATGACAAAGTTCCACAGCCCATGTGTATTCTCACTAGGGTTGGGTATCGTCCAAATATCTCGCTAGATACTTTTAAAAATGCAATTCTTCTCACTGGTAAATAACATCTTTATGAATTTGAATGGATCTTTATAGAAATTAGCCCTGGCACATTCCTTCTTTTTGTATAGTTTCCGTAGGCGCTCAGCTCTGCACAATGTTGCCAGCTTATCTTGTATATTGAGTGCCTCCTTCTGACTTTGTTCTGCGCTTTTCCATTGCTTCCTCAACTGTTTCCTTTCTCTAACTAACCCTTCAATTTTCTGTTGCTGTCTAGACATTCCAGGAGTAGTTTGTACTTTTTCCTTACTTTTTTCCACACCAAACCTTTTGTTTGCGTAAGTAGCTAAATGGATGTCGACAGTGGAGCTCGTTTAGCTAGATTAAAGTTATTTTCACAACAGAGTCAGGACACTTACAATCTTCTCGTTTTAAGAAGAAAATTAAACAGAGAAACGTGTGGGTGCGGAGTTGCAGCCACGAGTGGTGGGATACTGATGTGAGTGGCTTCACTGATACAGAATTCATCAGTAACTTCCGAATGACCAGATCCACCTTCGATTATGTTTGTGAGCGTCTTCGATCAACTCTGTCACGGGACAAGAGACACGTCTGCGGCGGCCCATAACAGTGCAGAAACGCGTTGGAGTTGGAGTGTATTGGCTAGCTAGAGTTGTGTGCAATGACGTGCGGGTCGGATATATGTGACCTGGCCGTTCAAATTGAAGTCGCATTTCAAAAGATCGGATAGATATCGGATTTTGACCATATACCCAAGTGGCCTGGGTCGCATTTGAAAAGATCAGATCTGTGTTGTTCAGACTGTCATGAAAAGATCGGATACAGGTCGCATAGGGCCAAAAAAAAAAAAAAACAACGGAATTAGGTTGTTTCGGCCTGCAATGTGAACAGTTGAACAATGCGTGCTAAATAATAATATCTGGTCGGAGGTTAGTGGTGGCAATCTTAGGTGAAAAAATAAGCCATTGATCAAGATCAGCCAACATTTTCCAGTCCCTAGCAGCTTCCAGTTTTCCTGGGCGAGAATTGGTTTTAACTCCTTTTCTTGGTGGTTGCTCGCCTGGATGGAGGAATATTGAAATGGTCAAGTGCCAATCTTTTCTTGGTTCTTTCAAAGTGCTGTTGTGAATAGCTGGTTGTTCTTCAGAGATATTGTTGGTGGTTAATATGACCTCCTGGCCTTTCAGTGATCTTGATAAGAAGCAAATATATGGTGAACAATATAATCAGGACACAGAGGCGTCGGCGCGTGAACTGGAGCGCGTACTCATGAACCGAAACTCAGCGTATAAGCTACTTGCCTCACAGACCTGTATATCCTTAGAAAGCTTGAAATGTGTACTTTTAAACAAAACAATTAAAAACTAAAAGAAATCGGCTACTCTCTGCTTATGTAGGCTAATTCATATGAAGTGTGCATTTCTCGCGCGTTCACTACTGCGAAGATGGTGTGTCTGCATCGTCAACTTGATCAATTTATCAACTTCATCAACAATTCAAATGTTTCATGCATAATCATTACTTTTGCCGGTTCTTTGTGGCAAACATTATTTTAGGTTTTGCGTGATATCTCTGCGCCCTCTGATGCAGTGCTTCTCCTGTGTGCATTTGTTATTGTGTACTGATTTTCAGTATTTCACTGTAAGTCATGGGGTCGGTTGCTTAATCTGTGTCCATAAATCATCTTTAAAAATAAGCTTGCTCACTGACACAAGATGCAGTGCATCTAAATTCTGATACGGTGAACAAATAACCTCTTCGTCAACAGTCACTGGTGGTGTCTTGTTATTTTCTTATTGACCAAATGCCCCTTAATTCCACATGGCACAGCTTCCAACCTCTACTATGTCAGTACTAATTTTGTGTCTTGTGTCATTCTTTGCCATTTTCCATTGGATCGGTGTAAGGCTTAAGAGGGTGAATGTGGCGTAAGGCCAGGTTGTAGAATAGAACATTGCAAGGGTGTCTGAATGGGTCACTTCTCCACTTTGTACAGAACTGTTCTGATGTGGGAAGCGCCTTGAGTCCCTTTGTGTGATTTTCAGGAGTCCCAGTTGGGTTTTGGGGAGGCTGGTAGTGTTGTTTCCCTGTAGATCAGGATGGGAAAGGAGGCCTTAAAAGGGGCATCTGGCTGAATGCCTGTTTTAAACACTTGATTTATGTGCACTGCTAAGAGCCAGTCTGTTTAGTAAGTGATGTGTTTGTGTAAGAGAGTGTGTGTTTGAGTGTGTATTTGTTTGATAAACTGGGCTGAAGCAACTCATTGAGATTCTGTCTCCAAACACAGTCTGTAATGAACAACACACTGTCTATAAAATACTCTGGTAATATTCAAAAACATTGTCATTTCCACAGGTCTGAAATTCAAATCAGAATGAAATGAACAAGTATGCTGACAGTATATTTATGTAATTTGCTTAATATAAAGTAACTCAAAGAACAAAAAGTCAAAGTTCAAAGAATTGGTTTCCTGTTGGCATCAGCATCATTTCATGTGTCATGTTCCTCCCATCTCCTTGAACAGATAAAATAGAACAAAACTTGTAATTTCCATGTTAATTGTACATAGTAGCCTGAACTCGAAATCAGTTTATATTTAATCTGTTCATGTTTATTAACTGCCTGAATGAACCGATTCAGCAAAATTTATCGAACTTTCCAAAGTTTTAGATTAAAATCTAAAACCTATTTTTAGATTTTAATTTTTACTATATTTTTCAAAAGATGGGGACCATTTATAAATCAGATTTTCTAACGCTACATATGATAAAGATCCACGTAGGATGAACTGAATAAGACTTTCGACGCTATACAAGAGGGAGTTTGTTTGATTTTCCCCTTCTGCTTGGACATTAAATGTTTGGTCACACAACACCGGTATACTTTGAAAATGTATTCAATGTCATGTCAAATATGTGGCTATTCACGTTGGAACATCATATACAATATATATAGACCATTTCACAAGATGTAAACAACACTGGTCCAGAAGCACTTCCTGTTTCAGTTTTTTAACACTACATAAAATCTGGGATAAATTACAACCAACAGAACATTTAAAACTGAATCAAAAAGTTAAACAAACATCTTTCAGATGTTTTCTTTACATGTGAAATAAAGAAAACAGTTACAAACTGAAACAGGAAGTGTTTCTGGACCAGTGTTGTTTACATCTTGTGAAATGGTCTATTTATATATATACACACACACACACACACACACACACACACACACACACACACACACACACACACACACACACACACACACACACACACACACACACACACACACACACACACACACACACACACACACACACACACACACACACACACACACACACACACACACACACACACACACACACACACACACACACACACACACACACACACACACACACACATATATATATATATATATATAGCCTAACATTTTCTCTCTCTCTCTCTCTCTTTCTCTCTTTCTATATATATAGAAAATCCAAAAAGTGTTGTTAGGATTTCCAACATGAATAGTCGTCATGTTATTTGATATGATATTTATGTTTTGTACTTTTGATCAGATCATATATAACATACATTCTTTATGTCTGATGTAAGTTATATATATATACTATAAAACTATATTATAATAAAGTTTCTCACAACATGAGGTGAAAATATGCATCTGCTGTATTTAACCCTGACATTGAGTCTATTGGTAAAAATTAATTTGTGACAATGAGCATAATATTGTTCTTTCACTGTTAGACATGTGTGAGCTAAGCCTTCAACAGAAGTATCTGAATCTAACCTGTTGTAAGACAATAGAAAACCCCTGAACAAAAGAGCAATTTATTGCACAATATTTTCCCATTTTTAGAGTTTTGGGTCATCAGGTGGAAAGTGAATGCCACTTATATGGCACATTTTATCGATTTGAACTATGTACTGTTTAGACCACTGATATGACAAGCTGACTATTGATGCAAAACAGAGAAAGCTATGCTGTCTGAATACCACATATGTACTGACAAACACCTATACACATCTATATAGACATAAATACACCATATAAATAGTTATATAATGTTATTTTATTCATCCTGTGTGATCTCTGAAGAACTTTTAATCTTATCATCCAGCTGTGTTGAATGAATGATAATAAGATTTTCTGCCATATATCTAGGCAAAATGTTTAGTTAAAAAATATATACATACATAATTAATTACATTTGTTTTTGATTGATTTTAGTATTATTTGCAAAAATCATATACAACAATTTTCATAATGAATAAAAAAAATCAAAGGTCATGTGTGGAATTCAAATCACAATTAGTCATTTACAAAAAGGCAAATCAGGTTTAGTTGCAGTATTCACAAGTAATACATTTTGTTTAAGCAATGTGATTAGTGTGTTCTTCACAACAGGACTGTTTTATGCATGATGTTTTTAGGGTGCAGACTAGTGGGTAAGTTTTTATCTAAGTCTGTTTTTTTTTTTTTCTGACACCTGACGGCGTTGTCTTCTGTCTTTTTTTCATGCATCAACATTCTTATCCTCCATGGGTCTGAAAAAGCATTGATAGCAGATTTTTTAACCATCAAAAAACTTGACAAAAAAGCTGCAGACGGAATGCCATCCCTCTCCGCAGTAGCTCACATCAGGCCCTATGTCTGAGACTCCATCATTCAGTACTTCTCCGAACCCCTCATCCTCTTCTTTCTTCACCTCCTCTTCCTTCTCTTTCTGTCCTTCTTTTTCTTTCCTCACGGGCGCCTCTGTTTTGCGCTTGCTCTCTTCATGCGTTCCCTTGCTAACGTGTGTGGTCGTCTCTTCTCCGCTTCTCTCTGTGAGTTTCATGTGAGATGCGCTGGGTGCTCTCTTACACAGGCGTGTTTTCAGGACTTTGTCCCCCTCGCAAGCATTCTTTCGCTTCTTCAGTTTGCTCACCACCTGTTTCCAGTATTGGGAGGACTGGGTGCTGTACACGGAGCATTCCTGAGGTTTTCCAGCAAACTGGCATGTGTAGGGAGGTTTGAGCCCCTCCTCCTCAAGGGTGGAGCAGCTCACCTGGAGCAGAATGTTAGCTCCTCTCTCTAACGTCTCCCAGGTGCAGCGGTGCCCATCCTTAGTGCTTAGTTGACCAGACCCCAGCGAGGGATTTATGGCAGTACTTTCGGATCCAGTCACTGCATCTGATGGTTGTTTGGACTTCTTTTTTGCCTCAGAGAATGATAGGAGGAGGAAGACGAGGGAAAAGATGAAGAATAGACTCCGCCCTCGCATGGCTGTGTGTATAAGGTTATAGAAAGGAAGAAATCTCTGGTTCAGGGCACACACGGCACCCTCAGAAAAGAGAAATCAGCACCTGCAAAATTAGAGAGGAAAACATTAATGCATGATGAAGGGTTGAAATAGTTAACTAAAACCCCTAAAAAACATGTTTCTTATTTTGATTCAAATAAACATTTACTGAAATAAAATATTTTATTTACTTTATATTTTATATTTATTATATTTTCTATTATATTTAGACTTTTTATTTCAAATAGCTGCCAATGCAGCATTTCTCCTTTTCATTTGGTTAAATACTCTATAAGGACATATAAAAAATAAAAAGACAAAACACACAATAAGATAGCTAAACTTTGATTAAAATTAAAATGACTTTGAAAATATAAAAACGAATTCAAAGTCTTAATAACTATAATAGCTTCTCAATCATACTAAAATTCCACTGACATGATGCAGACTAGATAAGTCTTAAATTATTTTAAATATATATCATTTCATATGATTTTAAGAATTTCATTTAATAATAATTTATGTAATTTTAAAATAATAAACCCTTTTCAAATTTCTAATTTAAAACAATTACCTTTTATTTTTTTATAATTTGTTGTTTATATAGTTATTATTGCATTCATAATAGATATGGAATAGTATGTATGCATCAATTTAATATAACAACAACCTGATAAGCCAAATCACATCCCATCCTCGTTATCCTATCAAAACTAGCACAGATATGATGTTTCCCCTCCGTATACACCACTCAAACGCTTGTATTCTAGAAAACAGAGCTGTAAAGTTATAAATTTAGCGTTTCTCTCAGTTTTTTACTTACCGAGCTGACTTCTTCTAAAGACTGCGAGCGAGAGAAGCTTGTGGAAGGATAAGAATGGAGTTGGGAAGAAATAAAGGATGGAATCGAGGGATAAAGGAAAAAAAGTGGGGGCTGCATGGTGGATGTTTTTTGGGGGAATCAATAGGGTATCCAAACCTTCCAGAATCTGGCACCTCCCTCCTCGTCTGAAGACAAATGGACGCCCCTCACCCCATCCCTTCTCTTCACTCCTTTGTCTCATTTCAATCGTTCCGTTTCTCTCTTGCCTATCTTTCTTTCCAACGCATTTTGTGTTGTGTACTTTTTTACTATTAAATAAATAAAATAATAATAATAATTAAAACCATTTCAAAAGGGAAACTGCCAATTACTTTATTGCAAAAAAAAAAAAAAAAAAAAAAAAAACATCAAACAGTTTGTGCTTGTTTCTTTTTAAATGTAGATCCTTGGATCAGCAAGAACTATCAGTTTTCCTCAGGGGACTTTTTACATTTTCATTCTTCTATCCAGTTAAAAATAGTCCTGTTATTTGTCAGGGTATTTGTGTATGCTTGTTTGTTATTCGCTTTTCCTATGCTTACATAACTGGCAACACTTTCTAATCCTAAACCTAAACCTAAACCATCCCTATGGCCGGGCCGTGCCCTGCTCTTTATCTGTTCAGTTGACGCAGAATCTTAATAGTCAGTTGTTGTTTCTCCATACCAACCAAACCCCAGCTGCTGACCCACAGCAGACACTGGTGAAGTCATACATGGCTGTTGTCTTGCTTTGGGCCTCACAGGCAGTTTGGATTCATTCCAAACCCTGAGTGTGCTTTTGGGGTTGCATGTTGAACTCAGAGGCAAATCTACAATTTTTTTAAATAATTAATAAATTAGTGTTTTGCTGTTTTCATTTTTCTCTTTATATAGTGACTCTACTGACTAATGAGCACCACTGAGCAAAAGCAATTCGCGTATTAGATACGGCCCTGAGATTCTTCTCATTGTTCTTCATTTTGAATATTAATTAAATGGTGTGATGAATGAGAAGCGTGAATTGAATGTGTGGCATGTGTGAGGGTGTTTCTGCTCAAATAATGCGTTCTTGTACAGAATCAGAATAAATTCCACTCAAGGTAATTTTCAGCAATTTGTCGAGATCATAGTAGCAACATCTCCCTCTGGTGGTGGTGGTGATGTGCTTGGGAGTAAGTTTCTTTATGAGTTTTAGATTCAGGTGACCCATTTGCTGAATATACATGCATTGTTGTTGTTGTTATTATTATTATTATTATTATTAATTACCAAATAATTAATTATAATATATTGATTGATATGGATTAAGGACCCTGGATTTCTGTCCTATAAACTTTTTTAGATCTAGAACTAGAAAAAAAAAAACGTAAATTCATAAAAATGTCTATGTTTTTTCTGATGTTTTTTTGGATAATGTTAAGGGTCACCTTTGAAGTTAGCTATTTTCTTTTTGAAATATTTTTTTTAAAATGTGTATTTCAAACTTGACAGGTGTCTTGCTATAGGCACGAGTAAGTGCAGTGCCAAGTTTGACGTTGTTTGGTTTAGAAATGCAAAAGATATCGGTACATATATCAGTAAAAGAAGTATACATTGAAGTTGTGGTTAAAAAGAAACATTCTGAAATTAGAGAGGGTTGGGGTTTAAAAATAAACATTCTGTCAGCTAAACATTAAGGCCGTGTGTCCACCAAAGCATTTTTCCACGCGCCTGGCGTATGTTTTCAATGGGAGCGCAGCGTTTTTTAAATGCCATGCCTGCGTTTTTTTCACCCTGAAGCAAATACCACTCTGACCAACTGTCACAACATTCTTTCTGTTCAACGACATCAACTGGCAGAGCTAACCGAACGAAATAGATGAAAAATACATTTTTAGTATGAAACAAATTATCTGCGAAATCAGTTACAAGTAAACTGTGCTGCAAGTATTCTGTAAATGAAACGTCTCAACGGAAAAAACGCTGCGCTGCCAAAACGCTCAAGCGCCCACAGCTAGCGTCTAGCGTTTTCAGCTTCCTAAAAACGCTTTGGCGGACACACGGCCTTAGTTAGCTACATTGTTTACTTCTGAAGAAAAAAAGTAACGATTCTTTTCGAAAAATTTAACAATGTAGTTCAATGTAGTTTTCAAGGATGTTATTATACATTACAATGTTAATGTTAATACATTGTTATTAACATTGTAATGTTGACATGTTAATACAAACAATACATTGTTTACAGTGTTATATATGTATTACAATGTAATTATAAATTTAATTATAGGCCAACATTTATTATATTATTATATATCTGTTACATTATTATTTTGTTACATTATTCTTTTTGAAAAAGTAGTGATTCTTTTCTGAAAAAGTAGAGACTCTTTTTAAAAAAAGTAGAGATTCTTTTTTGAAAAAGTAGCGATTTTTAAAAAAAAGTAGTGTAAAAGAATGCAATTTTACATTTTAATTTAGCCCTGTTGTACTGTATCACACAACAACGTAAGAAATGTTATGTTCTATTAACGATTTGTGATATGTTGTGGTAGGTAGCACTACAGCTAAATTCATGTAGGTAATAGTTGCAGTCATTGAGAAGGCGTAAGATGAGTGAAGTGCTCCCAGCACCTGTCAACAGACGCATCAAAGTCGCAATCCAGCCACTCTCCCTTTTTCATTTTAATGACATTCAGACACTTTTCTCCTCTCTCGCGTAATGCTGAAGTCCTTGTGTCTGTTATGTTCCCCTACCGACTGATGACATGTGAGATAATCGTCTTCATTGAGCGGCTGATGACACTACACGAGTCCTTGATGAGGAACAGCATTTCTTCAACACCCAGTCCCGGCTTGTCTGGCAAGCAGTTCTGCAATCAGTGAGCGCAGTGGCCATCCAGCCCCATCGACGGTGATTACTGAGCAGGCGAGATGCACCCCGTGTCGACCTTGCGGGCCGCTAATGACAGGGGAGAATCTAATTGTGAATCAGACGAAGTCTGAGGCACTCTGGACAGCTGCAGACCCATCAAACGGGTTCTGAATGCATGGAATTTAGATTTCTTCACTCACCCTATGCTATATAAATTAACATATGGTCACCCTATGAATGTGGTCACCATGACAACACGCCACTTACCGCACTTCACTTGGAAGATCATCACCTAGTCAAGATACAGTAGTGAATACTGTTGTGTGTAGAAGTTCAGCACCTCTAGCAGCAGATGTCTCATGCCTCATCTGAGTGATGGATCTCATTGATGGATCTCAGGTTGATCTCTTTGTTCTATTTTGGTTTGGGATTTGGGAGAAAATATTTGATATGGTGAGGGTCTTATTGTTTCTGACTTAATATTATTCTTATATTATTACTTAGTATGTATTGTCGGTTACATATTTAAAAAATAGCGTCCTTCATATCCTTTAATGTATTTTTACAATATAGTTGTGGTCAGAATTAATGGCACCCCTGGTATGATCAAAAAATGGCTGTAAAAAAATGAATGTACATTGTTTATCCTTGATCTTTCAATAAAAAAAAGAAATAACATCTAAATGAAAGAATTGAAAATGGGGGGTGGGAGGAGATCACATTATGATTTTATTTTTTCCAAAACATGCTGGCCACAATTATTAGCACCCTTTTATTAAATACTTTTTGCAATCTCCTTTTGCCAAGATAACATCTCAGAGACTTCTCCTATAATGCCTGATGAGTTTAGAGAACAACTGACGAGAGATCAGAAATCATTCCTTCATACAGAATCAATACAGATCCTTCAGATTTCTAGATCCATGTTGGTGCTTCTTCTCTTCAGTTTACTCCAGTCATCAGGTCAAGGAACTGGTATGGGCATGGCAGAAGCTTTTGTGCTCCGTAACAAATTTTTGTGTTGATTTCGATGTTTGTTTTGGATCGTTGTCCTAATAAAAGATCCAACCACGGCCCATTATAAGATTTCTAGCAAAAGCAACCAGTTTTTAATTTTTTATCTCTTGATATTTGATAGAATCCACAATGTCATGTATCTGAACAAGATGACAGAAAAACATGCCCACAACATTAAAGATCCAATGGTACATTAAATTGTACATGGGGTACTTTTTATCGTGCACCAAACCCACCAAGCGTGTTTGCTGCCAAAAGGGTATTTTTTTGTTTCTTCTGTTCACAGCCCTGTGCCGTTTGAAGTTCCAGTCGTGTCTGACAACTGAATTTGCTGGAGTTTGTTTTTGTCAGTAATGGCACAGAAAGAATGAGTAGAGTCCAATTGCAAAGAACAGCAGTTTATTCACAATGAGAGATTCAGGGTCAACGCGCACTCTCTCGGACGAGACAATATACCCCAAGAACGGAACTGACTGTGCATGAAACATGTACTTCTCCGCCTTGACAAAAAGCCCATTCTCTAACAGTCTCTGGAGCACTTGTCTGACATGTTGAACATGTGTTCCTGGAGAGACGAAGAAAATATCAATTTGTCATCTAGGTAAACATAAATGAACTGATCGTCCATGTCTCTCAGCACGTCATTGACGAGTGCTTGGAAGACGGCTGGGGAGTTGGACAGGCCGAAAGGCATAATCAAATATTCAAAATGCCCCCTGGGGGTTTTAAATGCTATCTTCCACTCACCCCCCCCCCCCCCTCTCCTTATCCAGACCAAATGGTAAGCGTTACGCATGTCTAATTTTGTGAAAAGAGACAGAGAGCGAGTATAACTTGCCGTTGGGCGGAGACGTACCTGGCAATAAATCTATAGCACAGTCATAGGGATGATGTGGAGGAAAAGAACCAGTCAGGGACTTCCTGAACACTTCCTTCAGGTTGAGATACTCCGGTGACATGTTAGACAGATTCACTGACTCCTCCTGCAACAGAGAACAAGAAACAGATGGACACGCAGACAAGAGGCATAATAATGATTAATCCAAGTCGATACTGAACTCGGACCCCACTCAATCTTTGGTTGATGCCTGCGCAGTCTCATACCAAGACGTCATATAACTGACGTCTTGGGACGTCTTTTGACCATACGTCAACATCCGCCTTTTTAGGGTACCCTTAAACGTCGATTAGATGACGTTATCGAATCCTAACCCAGACCTAAACCTACCCCTAAACCTACCCCGTCACC